TTACTAGAAAGCAGAGAGATCTTCCTTCAGCACCGTAATAACTTCGTATAGCATACATTATACGAAGTTATACGATGCGACACTGAGGGTTGTGATCCCGTTGCCGGTCCCGGTCCAGTACGGGCGCGACACTGAGGGTTGCGATCCGTTGCCGGACACAACAAAAGACAAAAAAAAATAAAATAAAATAAAAATAAAATAAAATAAAAAAATAAAAACCTGGGAGTCATTTTTGATTCCTTTCTTTTCCTCATCTGCCCCACATCTAACGTGTCTGCTAATCCTGTTGATTCTCCTTCTAAAATATTTTCCAAATCTGTCCACTTTTCACAAACTTCACTTCATTGATTATTACGCTAAACCAAGCCACTACCTTCTACTTAGATTACCAGAGTTTTTGGATTCAATAGGTCTGCAATAGGGCCTGAGGACTTGCACTTATAACACGTTCGCAGGTGATGCTGACGCTGCTGGTCCAGAGACCATTCTTTGAGAACCACTGCTTTACAGCAATGTTCTAGACCATCAGTGCACATCAGAATCAGCTGGGAGCTTTTAAAGACCAGTGTGCTTAGCTTCTACCTCAACAGATTCTGAATCATTTGGAATAGGGATGAGGTCTGGCCATTTGCAATTTTTTTTTTTTTTTCTTTTTGTGACCAGTAAGGGAATCGTAACCCTTGGCTTGGTGTCGCCTGCACCGCCATCAGCCAGTGAAGGCACCGGCCATCCCTATATAGGATCCGAACCCACGGAGGGAGTGCCGCTGCGCTCCCAGCACCGCACTCTCCCGAGTGAATCATGGGGTTGGCCCCATTTGTAATTTTTAAATCTCCCTAGGTAGCTCAAAATGTGCACCGAGGGTTGAGAAAGTGGCAAGGCTTCGAGGAATGGCCAAGTTTGTTTGCTCCTTGTGGCTTTCACACTAGCTGCTCCTACTACTTGGTATGTTCTTCCTCTAGGTCTTTCCACGGCTGGATCCTTCTTGTCATTCAGGACTCAGATTAAATGTCACCTCCTCAGGTAAGCCTTCCCTGATTCCCCAAATCTAAAATAACTAACTTTATCACACGATCTTGCTTGTTTTCATTATAGGGATTTGTTTCTGAGGTTTCCCCATTGATGCTTATATTCTATATGCTCTAACTTATAACATAAGCATCTTGAGCACGAGCACCTCTTTCTTATTCCCTGTTGCATCCCCAGCACTTAGATCATTGCCTGGCACCTAGATGTATTCAATATATGTGAAGAAAAGAAAAAAAAACCCTTAAGTTCTTTCAGTTCTTTGGTGTTCTTTGCAACTGGATTTTAGTAAAATGTTTTATTTATGCAATAGAATTGAGCCATCTGTGAAAAAAGCATAAATTGACTTTTGGTTAATGTATTAGTCTGTTTTGTGTTGCTATAACAGAATTACCTGAAACTGGGTAATTGATAAAATACAGAGATTTGGCTTACGATTCTGGGACAGCTGCATCTGGCACAGGCCTCAGTCTGCTTCTACCCAATTCTACTCATTAATCCATTCATGAGGAATCCACCCCCATGACTCAAACAGCTTCCACCACTGCCACATTGGGGACCAGATTTCCACATGAGTTTTGGTGGGGACAACACGTCCAGACTATCAGTAAATATATCTTCACTAGCTCATCCTTTCTTCACAGGAACCCTATATTAAACCTTCTGCAAAGCAAGTGGTTATCCCTGCTGTGGATTGGATGTCTCCCCAAACTCACTGAAGCTTGGTCCCCACTGTGATAGTGTTAGGAGGGTGGGAAGTCCTATTATGATAATTGAAAGGTGAGGCCTTGAAGTGATTGGATTGTGGGACCATGCCTTAGTGACCGGATCAATCTATTGGTGGTTTAGTGGTCATCTGCATGATGGTTCCGACAGTGGTTCTGACAGCTTTAAAAGGAGAGCATGTGAGAACTTCTCTCTCTGTTCCTGCCATATTTGCTATGTGATACCCTGCATTGTTGTAGAGCCACCACCAAAGCCCTCATCAGACGTGTTCCCTGGACTTTGGACTTCCTAGCCTCTGAAACTAAGAAATTTCTATTTCTTCATAAATTACCCAGTTCCAGGTATTTCTGTTAAAAGCAACAGAAATGGACTAATACAATCCCTTAATGTATTATTATATATGATATTTGCTCATAATGGTGCTTCTTAGGGAATACAGCTGTAGGGAAAATGAAATATAAATGGTCAAGGCCCCTCAGATGTTCAGAATCTTGCTGAGCATTTGATGTAAATATGCCTGTGCACCCAGGTCTTCCTTGGCTATTGTCTGATGTAGATGCGCATCGGTGCCTAGGTGTTCCTGGCTTGTCTGACTTGCACCTAGGCGTGCTGGGTTATTGGACTTAAGTATAAAGGACAAGTGGCCCTGATCCACAACACCGCCCACCCCTGGGAAGCCTGGAGGTGGGTGGGCAACAAGGAGGCCACTTGTATTGCTAGGTGAGTACACCAATTGTATGGCTATGCCAATTGTATTGTTAAAGCAATTCATAACTAAAGCCAAAATTTTTCATTATTTTAGTTACACTATGTTTTCCATTTATATTATGAGGGCTAGGGGTTAGGGCCCACAGACCCTTCAAACCCATCGTACAGACTGCGTCACAGACCCCTCACACGCAGGTCCACACTAGGTAATTGGGAGAGATCAGGAACTGTTGGCAGACGATACGAGCTTAGTCCTCAGCTGTAGCAGCAGAAGCAACAGAAGCAGCAGCAGCCGTGGCCTTCTGGGGCATCCCAGGGACACTGGCAGCAACAGCTTCCGGCAGCAGTAGCACCCTCCCCATGGCTCCCATGGGGGGTATCCCATGGGGCAGGGGGCACCATGGATCAGAGCCACTCATTCTTTATACTTAAGTCCATAACCCAGGACACCTGGGTGCACATGCACGATTACATTAGACAATAACCAAAGAAGACCTGGGCACACATGCATATTTACATCAAATGCTCGGCAAGATACTGGACATCTGGGCCGGCCCGTGGCTCACTCAGGAGAGTGCAGTGCTGAGAACACCAAGGCCATGGGTTCGGATCCTATGTAGGGATGGCCGATTGGCTCACTGGCTGAGTGTGGTGCTGACAACACCAAGCCAAGGGTTGAGATCCCCTTACCAGTCATCTTAAAAAAAAAAAAGATACTGGACATCTGAGGAACCCTGACCATTTACCTATATTTTCCCTACACCGCTACTGCTGCTGCTGCTGTTGTTGCTGCAAGCTGTTGCTGCCAGGGTCCCTGGGACCCTCCAGGAGGCCACAACCACTGCTGCTGCTGCTGAGGAAGCTGAGGATTGAGCTCGAGTCGTCTAACAGCTCCCAGGATCTTCTCCAACTACCTAGCGTGGACCTGCATGTTAGGGGTCTGGTGACCCAGTCTGTACAATGGCTTTGAAGGGTCTGTGAGCCCCAACCCGACAGTACAATTGGCTACATCGGCAGGATTCCGACAGTTGCCCTAGACAGACAACTCACACAGTAGGGCAGCTAGATATGACTGGAATACACCTAAATCAAGGGATTAAGGCTTAGATTTGGTTTTGGAGACAGGAGACAGAGAAGAGGAATTTGTAGAAGAGCAGGAAAGGTGCGGCAGGGAGCAAAAGAATCACAAGAAAACGTGAAGACTGATTCCTTCTAACGGAGAGACATTTATCCTCAACTCTTCCGGGGGCACCTGTTTAACAAATGAACAGTCTGGCAGAACTAGGCAGTTTTAATTTCAGGCACTTGGTAACGCCAAGGTCACGGGTTTAGATCTCTGTACCGGCCAGCTGCACAAAAAACCACCAAACCAAAACCCCACATAATTCTGACAGTATTTGAGATTATTGAAGTGTCTTGTTTCACAGACCTGTGTTCAAGGTAGTGCAGCAAAATCTTCAGCTGTGGATCATCTGTCGCGTGGCCTCAAGAAAGCAGCTGAATCAAATTTACTGTGAATTAAGGGCACAAAGGACGTCCTTAAGCCATTCGCGGGCTATTTCCAAAATCACCTATGAAAACATAGAATGTAACATCCATTGCAAAGAAAAAATGATATTCCGTGCCCCTAACCAGTCTCCTTGGCAGGGACGTGAGTACTTCCTCAAAAGTCCAAGTATCCCAACTCTGCCCCCGGCGACAGGGCTGGGTTCACGTGCAACCAGTTTTTCAGGCAGCCACCTCCCTTCTCCTCCCTCTGCGTCGATCGCGACTCTAAAGACGACTTTGTGTGGGGGGCAATGGCTGAAGTCTCACTGGCGCCTCGGCCCAGCACAGGAGGCGAAGCCGACTCCACCAGTTCTAAGGACACCAGCCCCCGGTCCCCAGGCAAAAGCGGAGGCTGGAGAGAGACCAAAGGGGCGAGAGGGCGGGAGAGGTAGAGCCCCAGGCCCTAGGCAGGCGGTGCATTCTGGGAGTTGTAGTCCCTGTGGGGCGACGCCCTCCCGCCCCTACCGGGCGCCGCACTTCATCTCCCAGCCGCCCCCGCGCCGCGGAGGAGGCGAGCGGAGGGGGCGCTCGGTGATGAGTTGCCGCAGGGGCAGGGGCCGAGACCGAGAAGCAGCTGCTGCCGGCGCCTGGGGACGCTGACATTTGGCGTTCCTAGGTGCCGAGGGACCCTCGGGCGGGCGGCAACGAGGACCGTGTGGCCGCTGCTTGTCCCTGTGCTCGACCTCTATCCTCGCCATAGGCGCGCGGCGTCCGCCATGGAAGCTCATCGGACCGCCACAGAGGCCTCCAGGCGCCGGGGCCCCGGCTCCCCGGAGCGATGAGGGGGTAGGGGCGCCCCGCGGCCCGCCTGCCTCCCGCGCTCCGGCCGCCCCGGAGAGAAGGAGGGTCGTGCGGGCGGTCGGTCAGCGCCGCCGTGTCCGCCCCGCCCCCTGGGG